CCCCCAATTCCCCAGCACTGTTCCCATCCCAATTCCCCAATAAAAATCTTTAAAAAAAAAAAAAGAAAGAAAAAGCAAATGACAGTGCAATGATGACAAAGTCACCATAACATCCCTACCTATCTTTTCACATAATAAATGTATTCTATTGTTTAAGCTATTTAAGTCACGTTTCTATTGCAAAATGCAATTCCTAATATGTAGTCTTGTATGATTTTTTAAACTAAGTATGCATACAACATTTATAAAAAGTAAAAGCAAATTTTAAAATAATTCCAATGAATAGCAATAATTGTTAAAAATGTTTTATTATACCCTGAGAAACTGCTCAAAGAACTATAAATATTACACAAATTCTATACCAAGTGATCAGGATTGTATTTTCCTAAAACAAACTTCAATTTCTCTAAATTAAGAGACATTAGCATGTATTTTATAAAATCATGAGGAAAACCCTTTTTTCTGTTAGACTGTCTCTTATGCAGCTATTAAAGTGCCTGGTACACAGTAGTTGTTTGAATTTATTTGGGGATCATGAAATACTTTTTTTGCCACTTGTATCAGCATTACAGATACACAGTATCCACTAAGAGTTCCAAAGTAAGGGTAGAGCAGGGTTTCTCAACTTTGGCACTACCAATATTTTGGACCAGGTAATTCTTTTTTGTTGAGGCGGACCTGCACATTGTAGGATGTTCAACAGCATCCCTGGCCTCTTACCCACTAGATGCCAGTAGCATCTCCCCACCCCCAATTAGGACAACCAAAAATATCTCCAGACATTGCCAAATGCCCCCTGCAGGAAACAAAATCACTGAGAAAATGTAATTATTTTTGCAAACCATTTAGTGCTTTATCAGGAGTGTTTGGCTTTTCCAGTTAAATAACAGAATTTTAGAATTGCAACATTTCTAAATTTTCTCTACAGTTTATTGTGGCATACAAACTATAAGTGATATGCAGATTAGATTATCTCTAATGCCCCTCTTAAACCTTCAAAGGATTTCACATGAGGAATATTAATAGCTTCTATTTATTTAAGCTTATCTATGTTCTGGGTATAGTACTGAGCGCTTCACATTTATTCTCTCATTTTATACTCATGACATCCTCATGGGATGCCTATTAACCCCACTGTAGTAAGAAACAATTTAAAAATCTATTTTAATCAACATATCACAGTGTTGCCAGAAATTCTTTTCACTATATTAATTCTGGCACTGAACTAAAAAAAAGTACCTTAACTTGCTTAGCTTACAATCAATTTATGATCAAAACATTTCAATATAGGGCCGGCAGAGTGGTATGTTGGTTAGGAGTTGGCTTGGGACACCAGCTCTGAGCAGCAGGGCCCAGGTTCAGATCCCATATGAGGGCCAGTGACGCTGCGCCCTCTACAGCTAAGATGGTGAACAACAGCTCGACCTGGAGCTGGGCTGCTGTGAGTCGCCAGCGAGGGCATAGGCTGCAGTGGGGCTGGCCGGCAGCAAGCATGAGCTTTCCTGGGCTGCTGTGAGCCGCCGTTAGCGGCCATCCAATGGCCGGCAAGCAAATGCCTCAACCGGGAAGAGCGCAATGATAATACCAACATGGGCCAGTGAAGCGATGCCGTCCACAACTAGACTGAAGAACAAATGGACAGCAACTTGTCTGTTCCCATTCCCCGATTCCCCAATAAAATCTTTAAAAAAAAAAAATTTTTCAATATATCTAGCAACAAAATAAGTTGAATTATTACAACTTTCAGGAATTGGGGAAAAGTTCACAGCACCTAACAAGTCAGAGAAATAATCATTATCAGATCGTTTCTCGAAATATTTTTTCTACTGTGGCATAATGAAAGAGTACTTTTAAATTTTTTCATCCATGATTCCCTGAGCACTTCCAGTAACTTTTTATCCTCTTTGCACAACTTGGCAAAAACAATTCACTTTATAGTTATTAGAGAATTTATTTGTAATTTCAATCTGCCTTTCAGTAGAAATTGAAGGCTAGGTTCAAATCCCAGCTTTCCACCTACCAAAACTTAAGACAATATAACTTGTTCAGGCCTCAATTTCAACTATGCGACTTGCATCTAACAGGACCTATCTGATAGCCTTAAGAGTTAGTAGGTCCTCAACAAAAATTAATTTACCCTTCATTTTATTCTCAAAGTAAATTAAATCAGTTAAGAGCCAATTCTATTTAAGCATTTGTTAAGAGTCTACTAATAAAAGCCAAGGGAGGATGTGATAGGGGCAGTTTGTCTGATATTATACCATGTAATTATTTCCAAATCCATCATCACAAAAATCAGCTGAAGCCTAAGGGACTATTCCCTGAGTTTGAGATTTTATAATTACTGGTATTGTTTCTCAAATAGAGAAGTATATTATCAAATGAAGTGAGAGCATAAATGATTTATCATTTATATTATCTGTTGTCTTCTGTTTTACTTTTCCATGTGGTATAAGTCATATGAACCTCTCTCGAAAAGAAGTGTTCCTTCCTCTCTCCCTTCACCCACACAACTAACTGCCAAGACATTTTTATTAATATTTGTCTCTAAAAGCAGGAAGATAAATTGGAGCCTTCTCAATGCCACAAGGCTGTGTGTATAAGTCATATATTTAGTTAACTGTTACCCACCCAAGTGAATATTATCCATTTTATGGATTACTCATAATTAAGTCATTTACTAATAAATGCAAGTTACTTTATATTACCCTTAGTAAATATTAGGAAATAAAATGTTTAAAAAAAAAATCTTGGGGAAGTAGATCATGAATGTACTTCTTCCCTTGTTTTCAAGTGTGATGCAAATAAAACAGAACTACTATACTACTAGAATTTTATTAATCAATGGATAAAATTCAAATTAATACAGGTAATCTTTTATTCTATCTTAAAGTTTTAATACAAAAAAGGACTTCACAAAGCTCACCTGCAGGGTAGAACCAGGACAGGAACCCTAAGAACAGATCTACTACTAATCTAAAGTATTATAAAACATGTAATGAGGTTTCAGGCAAAAGTTGGTAACATGAAAGTATGTCAGTATAACTTAATTCATAATTTAGCAATGTAAAATAAAAATTCGTTAAGTTCTTCCCATTTAGTTTTCTTTCCATGTATATTTAGGAAGTAGCGGAGTTTTTTAAACAGTCAACTTCATTTTTTCTTAAAATAATTTACTGTCACTGTTCAGACACTATATTTCATAAGCTAAATTTATTCACTTGTTCTTAAAACTCATTTTAAAAACAGAATAAGGGCAGTTCAACTTCTCCAAAAATGTTCTGGCCCTCAAATAAAATTTCAAATCCTGCATCAATTAAGGGTTATCTGATCAAGTAAATTAAAGCTAAAGGTAAAAGTTTCTCATTAATGATATCAAAAGCAAAACACAGAAAAAAATACTTTCTGTGAATATATTAAAATGTTTACAATTCCTGTTGATACAAAGTTCACCAATAGCATGGTTTCTAGATGCAAAACATATAGAAGACAAGTATTGTAAAAGACACTGAACCTCTAAACCCAGTGAATTCCATACCAAAAGAATAAACAAGAATACATTTTCAAGAAAGTCACTAGAGACTAATGCCACAGAAAAATGACACACCCTCACACCCTTTACACCAAGACAATTTCCACCTTCAAGTCAGCTTATCCATGGGGGAGGGAGGAAATCAAAATCAAAGGACAATTTAAAGTATTAAAAACTTACCTGAAAATATCACCTCCATCCTTTTCCTTTCAGTACTTGGAAAGTCATAAAATCAAATTTCAGCAAGTATGATACCCACTTCTTTTTAACTTTATTTCCTCCTTGTTACCAGAATGAAATTAATAGCTAACTTTAATTAACACATAAAGGATCCAAACCCTTTACATATTTACTCATTTAATCACTATCCCTATTTGACAGAAGAAACTAAAGCACAGAGAGGTTAAGTAACTTGTCCAAGGTAACACAACTAGGAAGTTATGGAACCATAATTTGAACTGTATACATCCAAGATAATAAACAAATAAAAAAAAGAAATGGAGTGAAAAGGGAGTAAAACTTCTTTCCAAAACAGCTTGCAAAACTAGACTATTGTGAATGAGAACAAAATGTTTAAACTATAAATATACGTAGATGTGATGAAGATTACACAACTTTTACCCCCAGACGAGTTACTTTGGTGCTATAATATTTGATTATAGTCAAACATTTTAAACTACATCAGTCGACCAAGTAAATAACTTACTGTGACTGTTCGGACACTATTTTACAGGCTAAATAAATACGTTGTAATTTAAAGAATGAGCAATAGTTTAAGGAAAATTACTTTCTCTACCAGCAGTTAATTAGAAAAGAGAGTTCGTGTGTTGGGAAAAGGGGTTAAGAAAAAAAAAAAAGATGACAATCACAGTCTTAACCCCACCTTCCGAAAAAGTCACTAAATCTCCGTGGTTCAGCGCCTAAACCAACAGAATTGGCCCAGCGGGATTTCGTGAGGGGATGACAGGAGACCCTAGCAGAGGGGGAAGGGTGGCGATGACAGGAGAGGGAGCAAGAGATGGCATGCTTCCTATCTCCGAAAAAGGGGAGAACATGGGGGGCAAGGGGCGGGCCAGAGAAGGCAGGAAATGTTGCCAGAGATTCCAACTGAGGTGAGGAGGGTAGGAAACACAAGAAGGCGGGACCCTCGGGCAGAAGGGTTTGTTTAGGGAAGGGGAGGCACGTCAGGGCTACAGAGCTTCCCAGCCAGCTGACCCTCCTTTCCAGCCCCTCCGCCGCCGACCAACTCTCACTTTCTCAGCAACCCTAAACCCGCGGGTCAACCCCGTCCCGCTCCCCGCCCCCCACCCCAAGCTGGAGGAGGAGGGGGGAGCTTCACCCTCCCTCTCCTTGTGAGGTTGGTGGAGCAAACACCGGACACAGCCCTGATTCGAGGACCAGCAGGCCAGGAGACGCAGGGAGGCCCAGAACACGGGTGACAAGTCCGAGCGGCCGACGGGCGCCTCACCTGACAGAAACGTCGGCAGTAATCCCTACTGCTGATCCCGACGACGCCGCCACTGCAGCTGCTGCCGCCAGTGCCGCCTTTGCCGTCGCCCGCAACTCTAAACCCCGCAGGGCCTGGAGGGGACTCCACAATGGCCACGAGCTCTTCTCCGAGGCGTTCGGCCTCTTGGTCGCTCTCTTCCTCCGCCATGAGGCTCAGGCCGCCCAGCGCGTACCAGCCCCTGCGCCGCCGCCGCTGTAGCTGCCTCGGCTAACCTCCTCCTCCTCAAGTTCCCTCCCCCTTCCCTCCCCCCCAGGCCGACAGGGGCCTCTCGTCTGGCTCTACTTCCGGCTCCGCCCACCCACGCCCCCAATTTTTATTGGATAAATCTAGCCGCCAATCATGCACATACCCGCATTTTCACTACTATTGGCCAATTCAGCCGTCTGTTTGATAGACCCGCTGTCCATTGGTCAGTGCTGCTCGGCGGTTGCTGGGGACCGCCTACGAGCTTTGCCATAGGCGGCGCAGGAGGACGGGGCGCGGCGGGGGACACGGCGGCCGCCGCGGGGCTCGATCGGGCTACGGCGGCGGCGGCGGCGGCGGCGGCGACGGCGACGGCGGCGGCGACGGCGACCGGTCCTCCTCCTCCCTCACCCTCTTGCTCCTCCCTTTCCTCCTCCTTTCCTTTCCGGCCGGGTCTCGTCCACTTCCCCTAGCGGCGGCCACGATCCTACGGTACCGAGAAACTAGGGAGGCCGAGGGTGGGCCCGGCCGTTGGTGCGGGCTTTGGGCCCGGGGCCTTCCGTCCTGAAGCGAGAGCCGGGGGCGGAGCCGGGGCGCCGTTGTCGGCGGGAGGAAGAGGGAGGAGACGGGAAGCCTGACAGGGGCCGCCTTCGTCAGGCGCCTACTGCCTCCTCCCCTGAGACTGCCGCCAACTCGGCTGTCGAGTTGCCGGGCCCACCGCCTGCAGCTGGGACTCGGCCCTGCCCAGCTAGCGGTGCAGGGGCGGTGGGGCGCCGACGTGCTAGTGTCGACGCGGGAGGAGGGAGTCTAGACTGCGAGAACGTCCCGCGCCCCGCCTTCCCTCCCCCTCCCGAACCCTGGGCCTGGGGCGCGCGAGGAGGTGCAAAGCGGGGCGGACTCCTGAGAAGGGACTGGGATTGAGAAATGTTGGGCTAAACGTTGGTATCGGATATGTGGTCTGGAGTTTCCTAACGGGAGCGGTCTTAAACACACCTGCGTGGTAGCTGTTGACGTTCTCGTTCATCTTTTCATCCACCCTTATTTCCCTCCCCGTCCCCCATTTTTTCTTTCCGTTTGTTTTTCGTGTTTTACAGTAAAGGCATGATTTCCCGGCACCGCAGGGAAAACAGGGTGCAAGCCCAGAAACTATTTCCCCACCACCACTTGTTGAAAAACTGATTTGAAAGCGTCTCCGGTTTGAACAAACGGAAAGTGCCAGGATTATATGCGTCTCAGGTTTTGCGCTGGGAACCCTTTACTACTAACTATCAAGACGAAAGAAACTGGAAACTGATCGGGTAAACATTTAAACTTGAAAACTTCTGATGACTTTTATTTTGATCTAGTAAGTGATTTGCTGCTTCTTTGTTGGCTAGTTCCTGCTCTTAACTTTTTAACTTCCGCATTTAAAATATCTTTACCTTCTATTGAAAACACTTTTGTTCTTCGGTTCTGTAAACTCGAGCATCCTCTACTGGGTGGATATTTGCCTGTGCAGTAACACAAACAGACTTTTTAAAGTTAGAAGACGTTGGAATGTATAGGCCTTTCACATTATTACAAGTGATTGAGTATTTTATGCCTTAGATAATAACGAACATTTTTTTTTAAGTTTAATCCAAATATTTAAAGACAGAAGACTTTTCACATAGAAAGATTTAGGCATTACTGGGCACAAATATGTAATTTTTCTATAACTGGTTCAGAGCCATTTATCATAATTGGGACTGATTTGCTATAGGAGTATAAAATACAGGCCATTAAAGTGCAAATGTGTGATGGTAAATCGCTACTTATTAGGTAGAAATCATAGCTGTGTTATCTGCCATTGAAAAATCTATAGCCAAATATGATATTTGGCACATGAAATCCACGCATGAAACAATTTTTAATGGGAAAAAAATAGAATTAAACCTATTCAAATCTAAACTTTATTTTACAGAATTTCTGTGAAATATTAAGTCCTCTGAGTTTATGTCTGTAGATGTCTAACACATTGGCAATTTATAGTTCTTTTGAGAGAGATTTCATGTTACCCAGCTATGAATTCTCTAGTATGGATTTAATGCCATTGTTTCTGATTACACTTATAGAGCACACTTAGAAATTAGTCTCTAACATACTTAAAAAGAACAGAATTCTATCTTGAATTCTATCAAATTCATTTTAATTTCTTATATCTAGGTTAATGTAAGAGCTTAACCCAAAGGCATGGCCCAAGAGAACACTGGTCACCATAAGCAACATTTGTTCAGTATCTCAAGTTTTCAGCGCCCATAACGTCATGATTTTGCAAATGATCATAAAAGTTTGTTATTAGGATAAATTTAGAATTATTAAGCTGATTCTAAGTTAAATATTTGGAAAAATAGCAAAGATAATCATTTATTCCATCAACAGATTGTGATTGAGCATCTATCATACTAGGCACTATGTAAATAAGTTCTTAGTTCTGATTTACTAGTTAATTTGTGAAATAAATATTAATAAATGTAAGTATTAGTCTTTAATGGTAAAAAGGAAAATAGTGTTAGAAAAAGCACTTTGCATATTTTGATCATCACCTTTTGGAAAATCTAGTAGAGATAAATATGCATTAAAAAATGACTTACTTTGAACTCTTTATTTTGGTTTTAACATTTAATGTCAACGTTGCTGACGTTAATTGCATTTTGTCTGTCTTAGTTTTTGCTTTTTGTTTTCTTACCAATTTTGGAACTTAAATTAATCTTCATATAGAATTATGCCAGTTTAGCTACCCACCTGTTTGAACAAACTTTGTTTACAGTTTCCTACAATTGTGTTCCTAACAGCAGTTGCCCCAGAACTGTGAAGGAAAAGAAGCTCTTTTAAACTTAAATCCACATCTAAATTGGATGAGATTAATAATTAATCTCATTATAATTATATAATATAATTAATACCCTAAATATTAACCTGCGATTAGGTTTTCCTAAAAGATAGTGACATCTGAGATAGTTACAGCTCTTTTTTCATAGTTTTATTTGACTTTCATCAAAATCAAGGAATGGACCTATTTGTTACTTCCAGGTAAGTTAAGACTTAATGGACACGTGGTCTATTAATTTGAACTAAGTTTTCTGAAGTTTTAAATCTTAAAAATGTTTATAACCTCCTTTATAGTTAATAGCTTCCCTAATTGTTGTTACAACACTTACCTTTGTTTCTCTTGTCTTAAAAGAACCTTATTCAAAGTCAGAATGGAAAGATTTGTAGTGACAGCACCACCTGCTCGAAACCGTTCTAAGACTGCTTTGTATGTGACTCCCCTGGATCGAGTCACTGAGTTTGGAGGTGAGCTGCACGAAGATGGTGGGAAACTCTTCTGCACTTCTTGCAATGTGGTTCTGAATCATGTTCGCAAGTCTGCCATTAGTGACCACCTCAAGTCAAAGACTCATACAAAGAGAAAGGCAGAATTCGAAGAGCAGAATGTGAGAAAGAAGCAGAGGCCTCTAACTGCATCCCTTCAGTGCAACAGTACTGCACAAACAGAGAAAGTCAGTGTTATCCAGGACTTTGTGAAAATGTGCCTGGAAGCTAACATCCCGCTTGAGAAGGCTGATCACCCAGCAGTCCGTGCTTTCCTGTCTCGCCATGTGAAGAATGGAGGCTCGATACCTAAGTCAGACCAGCTGAGGAGAGCATATCTGCCTGATGGATATGAGAATGAGAATCAACTCCTCAACTCACAAGATTGTTGACAAGGAGGTTACCACCATTGTGATCAAGATAATAATGTGGAGTATTAAAGTTATGTGTTGTGTGGTTCATTTTTATATTTATTTCATTTAAAATCATGTGATGCAGAATAGTTTTGCAATGTGTATATAGTTGCAGGCAAAAAAAATGTAAAAGTTACTGTTAATTTTAGTCACCAACGGTGTAAAACAAAACTTAGGGTTTAGAGTATGCTAGGATACCTTAAACCTCATGGTTATCTTTAAAATTGATGGTTTTTCTCCTGAAATGTTTGTGCATGGAAGAACTGCCCTGCTTTTTTACCCTATTGCCATGTATGATTATTCCTTGTGAGATTACTTAATTACTTGGCTTGAAGACTAGCCCAGGAAATTGAAGCTGCTGCCAGGCAATACCACTCACAGTAACTTAAAGGAATTACTTCTGATTAGAGGATTCTCTTCAAAAAGGAAGGGATTGTGGGAAACTGTTCTTGTCTCTACAGATCCCTAACAGAAAGTGACTGTGTTTATTTCAAACTGCTTTACTTGTTGTATATGATGTAGTTAACTACCCTTCAGTTCCTCACTGTCTTTTTCCCCCCTTTTTAAAGGCTCGTTGTATTTAGCAGCTTCAAGTGACCAAAAGACTAAAATCTTTCTTTTAATGTCAGTGCCAAAAACCGTAGGGAATTTTGCAGTGACATGATTTTAGTCTCTTACTATAAACACAAATTTTTGAACCATAGCTTTCATTTCAAGCATCATCTTGAATTTGTAAGTTATTATTATTATTTTTTTTTTTAGATCTTAATGTTAAAAGACTTCAGGATTGGCATTTTAATTTAAGCAGGTAGACATTTTATGATTGAGTTTTCTGTTTTTACAGAAAATAAGTAATTTTTGGTTAATAGATACGGAAATTACTTTCTATACATTTTTCCATATGATTTTATAAGAGTTTATTTAGGATAAATAGACTAGAAACAAGTTTACTTACTTTCACTTTGATGTACTTTGCCTCTGGTGGCACAAGGTTTTTAAATGGATAGTAAACAATTTTCTAAGAAATACTGGCAAGATTTTTGTAGTGGAGATCTGGCAGTATCCTGCATAACTATTTGGATGAGGAAATAATCACTTCTGTTAAAGGTCAGCCATGTTCAGGAAATGATCTCTATCTGAACCTCACTATCCTTTAAGGTTACCAAAGTAGCTTAAACCAGTTACGTCCTCTTTGTTGGAGACCCAAATTATATTTTTTAAAAACTAAGCAGCTGAAAACTTTGAGTAGAGCTTTTAAAAAAAATCTTACGTTCTTTGAAAATAGTCAAGTTAAAATACTTATAAAATATATTTCTA